AAACCCTAATGTTCTATTACACTTTATGTTACACATTGGTCTAGGGTAGAATTTATCATTTTTCCAGATGCTCTCCTTATAACAAAAACACGCTCAATACGTCATAATAGACCCTGTACACAACTTTGAACCGTCGGAATTTAATTTTGACCAAAGGTTGACCGCGTTGACTCGTCAAACTCGTCAAACTCGTCAAACACGTAAACCCCAAACATGAAGGCATGTACATTTGACGTTCAAGAACTGAACGGTGTTACTGGCGAGTTTGAGGTGCGGGATGATAAGGGTAGAAGACACTTGGTTAATCTTGGAGAAAGAACATGTGGTTGCAAAATGTTTGATGTGGATAGGTATCCTTGTAGTCATGCAAGGATACCTAAAATACCTATACGATGATCTAAAAAGCAGGTATGTTTCTTGTGGTTAGTGTGATTGACTTGTTTGACGAGTTTGACTGGTGTTATTAATGTGAATATATCTCATAATGTGTAGATATCCCAAAGTGGCTGAGTACATGCAAAAGGAAGAACTTGCACCTGAGAATTGGGCAAGGTGTAAATTTAAGAGTGAAAGGTACAACATGTTAACAACCAATGGGGCCGAATCGATCAACTCCGTACTGAAGAAGGCAAAAAAGTATCCATTGCTAAGTTTACTTGATATTTGTCTCGGAAAGACAGTTGAATGGTTTAACAGGCACAGGTTAGAAGCAGGTAGTTCTGATGAATCTCAAAAGTTAACACCATTTGTTTACAAAGAGCTACATGAACGTTACGAGAAGGCATGTACATTTGACGTTCAAGAACTGAACGGTGTTACTGGCGAGTTTGAGGTGCGGGATGATAAGGGTAGAAGACACTTGGTTAATCTTGGAGAAAGAACATGTGGTTGCAAAATGTTTGATGTGGATAGGTATCCTTGTAGTCATGCAATTGCAGCAGCACATATGATCGGAAAAGGCGATATGATATACGAACTTTGTTCTGAATACTACAGGCGAGATACATGGCGTATGGCTTACCAAGAGACTGTGTACCCGGTTCCTGATTGTTGTGATTGGAAATTGCCATCTTCCATTGCAGATGTAGTGGTTCCAGAAAATCGGTTTTGTTTAAACCTTCCACTTACTCGTTTTTCTTCCACTATAAGCGGCAATACCACTACATCTACGTTTATTGGATGAGTTTTTTGAGATTTCACTTGTTTCTTGCAGCAAATTTACCAAAAAATCGCGCTGGAGAAGAGATATTCAAGAGAGAGAAGAAGAAAAACTCGAAGAGAGAGAACGCGATGTATGGCGGGAGAGAACGATAAAGAGGAGAGAGAAAATGAGGTAAAAAGTAGATCTATATTTTATTTATTTTAGTATATTATAATATTATATAAATAAAGGAAGGGTATTATAGGGATTCTACATTTATAAGGGTATATCTGATGTTGCCATTTTTTTGTTACTGTGCGAGGGTATGGGCTGTAAGTGAAATCGACATTTAAGGGTATTTTTGCAATTGCCCCATTTTGATCGGAGAAACGCAGGAATGGATCCTGATACTCAAGAGCAGCAGCGAAACATACATGGCGTAGTCATAATCACTCTCCCGCCTTCCGACGATCCTTCCAAAGGCAAGACCATCACTGCTTTCACTCTCACTGACGACTATTACCCACCGCAAAATCCGCCGGAGAACGAGGCAAACCGGAGGCTTGAACCCGACCCACTTCACCAGAACCCGCAATCTCGCAGCGGGTTGTCGGATCTCTCTCTGGGTTCTGCGAGATGGGTGTTGGGACTTCTGGGTATCTCCCTCCTCGCTGTTGTTGTCTATTGCTCTGTTTTCTCCGACACTGTTATGATGTTTAGGGTTTCTGAGGAACGAGATGGTGAGGAAGGTCTCCGGGAAACGACGTCGTTTGTTTTCCCTGTGTATCACAAACTGGGTGCTCGGCGAATTCCGGATCGGAACTTATCGGAGAGGATCGAGGAGGTTGTGGGTGTGGAGAAGGGAAATTCCGTTGAAGTGATCGATCAAGAGATGGTCAACCCTGAAAAGGTCAACGGAATCGTTTCTGTTACTGTAGACTCTTCCACCATTTTTCCTGTCAGCGGAAATGTATATCCGGATGGGTATGTATGTGTATATGTGTTTCTGTCTGTGGCATATCATGTAGGGATGTATATACAAGATGCAGAAATGAACATTTCGTGTGTTAGTCATACCATTTGCAAGTTTTTTTTTATGAAATGTGCCCATACAAGTTGTTCACTTGAGGAAATTGCATACCTTCACCACCTTTCATTATGGATTATTCTGTAGTGGAATCTGCAAATTCTTGTTCCTTGAAGGTCAAGAAACTATTCATCCATTACATCCTCAGAGCCAATAGTTGCTTGGTTGCAAATGTTAATCGAAGCTTCGTCCTTTTTTGCAGCCTCTATTACACACGTGTCCTTGTTGGAAATAGACAGGATGGGAACTACTTTCATCTTGATGTTGATACTGGAAGTGACTTGACATGGATCCAATGTGATGCTCCTTGTACCAGTTGCGCTAAGGTAAAAGATTTAAAACCCCATCTCTTACCCTCCTCATTTTGGCTCTTTGTGTGCTAATTCAATATAGTTTTCTCATCACAGGCAGAAACAATAACTGTAACGAGAACTTTTCTTCTGCAAAATCACTGATATGCTAATGGGTTTGGATGAATATAGGGAGCAAATCCACTTTACAAGCCAAGGAAAGATAAGATAGTGAGCTCTATGGATTCCTTGTGCGTAGAAATCCAGAGAAATCATATGACACAAGGTCATGAAACTGGTCATCAATGTGACTACGAGATAGAGTATGCCGATCACAGTTCTTCAATGGGTGTTCTCACCGCCGATGAGCTTCATCTCAAACTTCAGAACGGGTCCCTTGCCAAATTGGATTTAGTTTTCGGGTAATTAATTATACATAACCCTTAACTTTTTTTTTCCTTATTTGGCTTCATCTCTAGGCCTCAACAAATGATGTTCTTCTTGGCATTTATGGTTGAACTCAAGGTGTGGATATGATCAGCAAGGCCTACTATTGAACACTCTGCTGAAGACAGATGGAATTCTCGGGCTAAGCAGAGCTAAAATTAGCTTACCTTCTCAACTTGCAAGACGAGGAATAATCAAGAATGTGATCGGTCATTGCCTTGCCCCTGATTTAAACGATGAAGGATATATCTTTATGGGCAGTGATTTGGTTCCACAGCGTGGAATGACATGGGTCCCAATGCTTCACCATCCTCGACTGTAAGTATACACATGCAATTTTTTTGGGTCTTTTTTTCAATCTTCAGCTGATATCATACGTTTTGTGTGTATCTTTTCTGGTCCTTCCAGTGAAGTTTATCATACAGAAGTTACAAAAATGAGCTATGGAAGTTCTGTGCTTAGCTTAGATGGGCAAAATAGCAGAGTGGGGAAAGTTGTGTTCGATACAGGAAGCTCCTATACATATTTTCCTGATCGGACTTACTCCGAGTTGATCACTTCTGTAAGTAATGAGAGTCAATCGGTATAGATTTGAGTAATTCATCCGTTTTTTCATGAATATTCTTGTCACTGATGTCGTTTTTGTTATATTGTTCGGTGAAGCTTGAAGAAGTTCCCGAGTTAGGATTAATGCTTGACGAATCAGATACAACGCTGCCCATCTGTTGGCGAGCTAATTTTCCAATTGGGTATTAAAAAAAGCACAGGATATGATGATTCTGAACTGTTTGATTCTTCTGCGGTGGAAAAAAGATTCTATCTTTAACGTTGATGATCGGCTTTGATGCAGATCGGTGTCGGATGTTAAGCAGTACTTTAGACCGATAACCCTTCAGCTCGGGAGCAAATGGTGGATCATATCGAGAAACCTTCAGATTCAACCAGAGGACTACTTGATCATCAGCGTAAAACACACTCGTCCAATTGCAAATACTCATTTCTTTATTTCGACACGATATTCGTTCAATGCATAATAAGTATCTCAAGTAATCCATTTGCAACGTAACCATCAAACGTTAGAAATTTTGCGGTGTCATTTCGTGCTTGAAGATCTTGGTATTATGGTTTTCGGGTTGCAGAGCAAAGGGAATGTCTGCTTGGGAATACTTGATGGGAGCAGTGTTCATGGCGGCACTTCCATAGTTCTTGGAGGTAATCATTTTCTCCATCACAATTTTGATAATTACAAATGGAGATTAGATATGAATCTGTGAAAACACATTTAATGCATATACTTTGAAATATCTGTATATGTATATATTTATGTGTGTGAAATGAATCTGTGTATTTGTTTCCAGACATATCTCTGCGCGGACAGTTGATGGTTTACGACAATGAGAAGCGGAGAATCGGATGGAAGAGATCAGATTGTGTCCGACCTCATGAATTCAGCCCCTTTCCATTTTTCGATGGCTGAAGATTGATCGTCTTCAATATATATACTAGTGTATGTATAGGTGTGTAATTTCTTGTATAGAGCTATAAGAACGAATTAGTATCATATATATATATAGATTGTATGTATAGGTGTGTAATTTCGGGTCGGTGTTCTACTGACCATTGACTCTCTAGACCAATACATCTTTTCATTCAGTCTCATACACGTCACACACTACAAAAACTCATAGTTTTCCGTATTAATTAATTGGTGATGATTATGCTCTATTGGTTAATATTACAGAATATAGATATACAATTATTTGTGTATATGTGTGTTTTATGTAACGTGTATATATATTTATGTCTATAGATATATTCGAAATGTATACATACATATGACTGTCGGAACGTGAGGGACTGATAGTATCGCCTTTTCTCATTTATATGTATATCTATAGGGTTTGTTTTATAAATATATTTAAGTTATAGCGTCAAATATATATTTGTATGTATATTTCTAAATATATATATATATATATATATATATGTATATCTATAGGGTCAGTAGTACACCGATCCGAAATTACACACCTATACATACACTATATATATGTATGATACTAATTCGTTCTTATAGCTATATACAAGAAATTACACACCTATACATACATGGAAACATATATATATATACACACAATTAATTGTGTATGTATATATTAGATATATATCGATAACTATGTGTGTATATATAATATATATATATAGAACTCGTAAAATTAACTATATATATAGGTTGTATTTGTAACACCGCTACGGAATGTCAAAGATGTATTCACACACCAACACGAGACCTTTTAGCGTGTTTTGTCCTCACTCGTACACATAGTGTAAAATACTTTCCAGGAGGTCACCCATTCTAAGACTACTCCAAAGCGAGCACGCTTAACTTTGGAGTTCTCTCGAGATGGTTAACCGAAAAAGTAGATACATCTTGTTCCTATGAGTGGCTCAATTAATTCCTTTAAGTTATCTCTGACTGTGTAGTTCCATACCTACACAGCCCTTGGATCCCTCTCATTCCGGTGCGTTCGATTCATTCCTGTACCTCTATCCAGAAGCTCATCAGGAGCCACCCCTTGTCCATGCCTCTCGTATCGGCGATCACTCCCCGCCCTCCTACGGTATCCTGGGTTGTCACAGTATTGCTCGCGAGAATTAAACATGTGGTACACGAGAGTTGACACAGTGAATTAAATGACGCAGATAATATGTGAATTGGTGTTGCCGCCCAAAGTGTGCCATACGTGCTCCTCGTGTTCTGAAAAGATAAAATCATGAGGGTTAAGTACAACTGCTTAGTGAGTGATCCGGGTTAAACCCGATATTCCCGTTCTCATCGAGAACATTACCAACCAATAATTTTATACACGATCATAACCATTTTTATAATAACCTAACATCAATAATAACATATGATCACAACATATCAATCACAGTCATGCCCATATGAGCTCACGTCATAGGGCTAGCCGTAAATCCTAGTCACATCGCATGATTAGGTGCATCTCACATGCCCATCACCTCTCGTGATGTTGACCATCGCATCGCACAACTATATGCGCTTCACGCACTTGTCACGTCTCGTGACAACCGATGCACCTCTCGTGACACATCGAAGATATAATCATACAATAGCCTCAGACCATAAGATTTAACCATATACCCTAGTCATATCGCATGACTAGGTGCGCCTCACACGCCCGTCACCTCTCATGACGTTGGTCGTCGCATCACACGACTGTATGCGCCTCAAGCGCTTGTCACGTCTCGTGACAACCGATGTCACCTTTGTGACACTTGGGGGATATAAACACAGTCATGCTCTACTCGCATCGCACGAATGAGCTACAAACATACAACATGCATACGCATCACCGTTACAATCACACGTATAACAGTATTCGGTCTCCCACCGACCTATCGATCAACACCATGCAATACTGCTCAAGACAGCCGTGCAACAATCACTCGTCAGTTTATTATATTTAGATTTTAAGTTAGGACTAGTCGGTCTCGATTATAAATCGGTCAGTCTACGCATCCTTTCATTTTTTATTTATTCCTCTCTGTCACTCAGACTGTTCGATCTAGTAGTGTGGACCGGTCGGTCCACATATTGCATCGTTCTATGAAAATTGGACTTGGTGACATAGACCGGCCGGTCTAGTGGTCCAGACCGGTCGGTCTGATCTTTCATCCGAATTTGAGACTGATGTTACAAATCTAGGTGTATAAATTTGATCAAGTAATTGATCACACGGGTTTTCCATTGGTTTTTCTAACGTCACATACTGCGATTTTTCTCATATCTTAGGCATAATAGAATGTTAAACGGTCATAGGTAAGATTCTTTCCTCCATTTTCCTTGCAGGATGATCGAACGAGGATATTTACGCACGAGGCACAGAAAAGGAGCGAAATCGAGAAGTTCCGGAGGACTCATAGAAAACGAGCGGGCCGCCTGTTTTCACAGGCGGTCGCTTGTTGTGATAGGAGAGCAAGTGGGCGGTCGTTAGCAGAATCAGGCGGTCGCTCTACGCGATTACAGAGAAAACGAGCGGCCCTCTCGTTATACCAGCGGTCGCTCCCCTGAAGAAAACGAGCGACACTGAAGAAGAAATGGGCGACCCTGAACAAAAAGTGGGCGATATCAAATCCGGCCCAAAAAGAAAAACCCCGATTTTTTAGGAAAAACCTAGTTTTGGCACTTACACAAAAGGGGGATATGGGGGAGAGAGAAGGGGCTGCATACTTTAGAAGAGAATCACTTTGGAGAGGAGTTTTGGGAGAGATTTGGAGATCAAGAGAGCATTTTGGAGGAGAAGACACCATTGAAGACCATTTTGAGCATTTCTTCTCATTTTCTATGTTTTTCTACTTTGCTTTCTGTTTTGAACCTCTAGTTATGGAGTAGTGACTTTGTTGTGGGTGAGGGTGTTGGTTTAGTGCTCTATGATGTACTGTTTATGAACTTTATTTAGATACATTTGATGTATTGATACTTTCCATGGTTTATGAGAGTATTTGATTCATTACATGTTCTTGTATACTAGTTGTGTTATGAAATCCATATATCATTATGAATGATATTAAACTCCCTAGTCTTGTGTCATTATGGGAATGATGACATAATAAGATTAGTATGATGTATGATTGATGATCATATAGATTATCATAGGTATTGGATACGATCACAGTCATAGGTATTCGTTGGAGAACGGAATACTGGATTGACCCGCACGAGATTTTCACATGGATTAGCGTCATGACTTGAATCTCATATGACGGTTCCATGATTGGATCCTAAGACCTGAGATATCTACGGAATCCAACATGAGGAGTT